CCTCCCCAACAAATTATGAAGGAAACAAAGAGGAGAGCCAAAGTAAAGCCTGCTCAGCCCAAAAGTTGATATTTTTTTAATCTGCCTTAGTTACTGAACCACAAAGCAGCCGGGGTCTTCTGGTCCAGTTTTATCCAAACACAGAAAACACACCAGGTGTGTCCAGCTAATGGGCCAGTTTTAGCTTCCAGGATTCATTTTTCTACAGCAACACGCAGTGGGGGCTCGGAGCTAAACGGGAGGCTTTGTGGGGAGCCCCCCGGGGGGGTCGGGCTTTAGGCCACGAGGGGACGAGCCCTTTTTTCTGTCACTGCTCGGGGACGGAGGGCCGTCACCGTGGCGACCATTTGGCCAAACCACGGCTTTCCCCGGCACCTGGACGCCAATAAAGCGTCCTCATAGACGCTTTGCGTCCAGTTTCTGTCGTCGGGAGTTTAAATCTGAGGCTCAGAGAGGGAGCTGCCTCTCTGAGGAAGGGTTTCTGTAGAAACCACCCGACGGGTTCTGTCCAAATCATTAAGTCACGAGACACAAAACGAGATTTTAGCTCGGCTCAGCTGAGCTTTTCTTGGCTTTTCGTGAGCGTCCATCCAAAACCGCCTCATCTTCCAGGCAGAGACAATTTCTGGGGCCTGAAACCAAAACCAGGAGTCTGCCCAAACCCACCAGATGTGCTGCAGATGTGCAGCGGCAGGCCGTGAGCGAGCTCCTCATTAAAGGGAGATCCGACCATTTCATCTGAATAAAGACTAAACAAACTGGCAAATAGAAGCTAAAACACTTCAAATAAGACTCAAAACACTCGATAAGGTGGAAAAAAATATCACTTTTGGGACTGCTGGAGAGAAAATGAGAATACAGACTTCAAGAAGAAGCGGTAAAGTAAAGGAGATCGATGAGGTTACCTGAGCAGAGAAAAAAAACAACACAAGAGATACGGACCAGTTTCCCTTCAGAGGCCGGAAACACTGGTCAGACATTCCCAAATAAAGAAGCAGCAAACACGACACAGAACACACGCGATGGACGGGACGTTTGGAAAAAGGAGAAAGATCCGGGTTTCAGATCCAAAGAAATAAAAGAAGCATGCTCTGGGATGGAGGACATCTGTGAGCAGGCAAAGAGGATGAGATGGAAACACAACCCCGGTCAAAGCAGCAAACTGGATGGATAAAAATTAAAGGAAAGTGAAAATTAAGCACAAGTAAAAAAAAAAACAAGACAAAAAAAAACCTCTGCCTCGTTTCACACGTCTTCCCTCTAAAGATTGGGATCAAAATCTCTGGTTTAATGTTTAAGTGACCGTGTCTGAAGTTATGTTACCAAGAAATGAGGCAAAAACCTCTTAAAACAACAAAGAAAACATCGAAATTCTTGTCCATTATAAGTATTAAAAGCTATTTGGAAGCCGCTTCGCCTCCATTGGCCTGCTATGACCGAACTTCTTTTTTTCTGCACCAGCTTTGGGTGTTTTGCAGAAACTGGGTGATAAACGGTTGATAACTAACTTTGTTAGAGTCAATAATCAGTTTCCCACCAATCAGAATTACCGTTTCATTTTCAGTGGTTTAAAAAATGTATAAAATCTCCACCCCTCTCTTTAAAAGTAGCATTAAATCTGGGGCTGCTATGGGCACACCGGGGATCTCTGAGGGTGGGCAGAGGAACGCCTCCAATCAGCCGCCAAACATGAGAAACATCTTAAGATGACACATTTCTCAGACACTAACCAAACGAAACTCCTTCCTGAAATATAGAAGGGCCTTAAATGACATCAAATCAATACGACTTTGTTCCCCTTTGTGGATATCTTTGCGCTTTTTGGCTGAATGGAAAATGTCTTACATAAATGTCCTATATTTAAGCTAAAAAAGGGTCCATCGACGCGTAAACATACTAAAAGAAGCATCTGGTTAAAGGGTGTGTGGATGGTGCGTGTCCGTTTCTTCAGACTTGGCTGAAACAGAGCGGAGGAGGAAGCTTTGATGGACACAGACGGACGGAGAGCCATGCAGTTAGAGCTGTTCAGCCACCGGACCGTGAGGATGAAAGTCAGCGCGAAAGACGAGTTTGGGAGGTGGACACAGCGTCCTGCTGAGCAGAATTCAGGGTTTCACTCCACCAGCCTGGCCGCACGGTGCAGACACAGGGCCTCAGATGGCGTTTTTCAGGTATTTGTGAAGACAAAAGAAAGCTAAGGGTGAAATTATTTATCTTTAACATTCAGGGTTTTTTTTCCCAAACTAACTAAACAGGAAAGTTACACATGACCTGGTGTGTTAAACAGGCCAAATTCTGAGAATGAGTTTAAGACTCAACCTGATGTAGAAGCCAAACACGGGGCTGACTTATTCTCTTTTTAAATACCCTGAAGAAAAAACTAATGGCTGCAGATACAGTGGGGGAAAGAAGTATTTGACCCCTTGCTGATTTTGCAGGTTTGCCCACTTACAAAGAATGCAACGATCTATAACTTTAATCATATGTACATTCTAACAGTGAAAGACAGAATCCCAAAGAAAATTCCAGAAAAAAACACATCATATGAATTTATAAAAAATGATAACCATCTGATGAGGAAAAATAAGCATTCTTTGTAAGTGGGCAAACCTGCAAAAGCAGCAAGGGGTCAAATACTTATTTCCCCCACTGTATCTGGACCCTTTGTAGGTGAAACGAGTCCCATCGCTCCTACTGGGAAGTGTTACCCTGAATCCGTCCCGCTTCAGGACCCTGAGCCCGCCTCGCCTCTCTTTCAGAGCCGACGGACAGATGAGGCGGCGGCAGCGACAGACAGGATGGAGTCATGTCGGTGTGTACCTTTCTACCACAACTGGCCGAAACACCAGTAGAGCAGAGCCAGGACAAGGCCCATGAATATGGCTTGGACAGGCTGCAAAATGGATGGCTAGAGGAAGGGAGGGAGGGAGGGGAGGGGGCAGAGGGATAAGAAGAAATCAGCCAGCAAATCAACCAAAACCAACATGGAGGATGGAGCAGCTGCAGCGAGGGGGGGGGGAGAGGACCGGAGAAGCCGGGGGGGGGGGGGGGGTCTTCAGGGGGAAACCCACAGAGGTTTCTACACCTGCAACAGTCACACCCAAACAAACGCCAACGGACGACTGGACACCTGCCACCAGGCCCCCTGATGGGGGGGTCTGCGCCGCTCTGGACAGGAAGCGGAGCCCACTTTAAAGAAGAGCTTTTTCCAGGTCAGCCTGGGTGAGCCTGGGTCAGCCTAGGTTAGCCCATTTACCAACGCGACTCATCATATTAAACCTTTTTCTGTACTACAGCTGTAAATTTCAGCCAATCTTTAATACAACTAAAGAAACTAACTCTTTTCGGCAAAAACAGTCAAAAAGGGTGAAAAATTCATGGATTTTGCTCTAATTCTAAACTGTATTAATCAATTAATCAAGCTATTTACTGATACATTTGCATCTACATTTTAAAATAATTCTTAAAACAGATTTTTTCATAGATTTATTAATCTATTCATTTCCCCAAATCGCTTGTATTCTTTGTCACAGAGTGAAATGCAACCTGTAACTCATGGGGAGCCGGGCTACGCCAGGCCGACTATGAGCAGATAAACTTATGGAGACTCCAAAGGGTCAGAGATGTGAGAATGGCCTGAAACCAAAACCAAGTCGGACAGAATCACCAAGAACGGCGTTTTTTTAAAGTGAGGAGCCCAAACGCGTCGGGGTAAAAATCCATCAAACGTTGGTATTAACTCTCAGTACGGTATTACTTCAGCAGAAACCAAAACAAAAAGTGAAAACAGTGTTGAACTAAGACACACTGTGTTAGATAGAAACTCTCAGTACATTTTTTAAATAGCTTTGCATGTAAAAATGTCCTCTCTATCTCCCAGATGACATGTGATCATGTGAATGCCCCCATTCATACAGGAACACTGAACATGACGCGTGAGGGTTCATCAATATTTCAAACTGCTTAATTTCCTCTTACTATTAATTTATCAGCAGTTAGCATTAAATCTGTATTATGTCATTCAAAAATTGGGAGAAATCTACACGCGCTCTCTCTGAAAATGGCTGATTCAACCCATAAAAGTTTTGATCATCTCAAGAAATTAAATTCAGGATTTAAACTGAGACGAAATTTAAACTAATAAGATTCTGTGGATCAGAGCAGATCCTGAAAACAAGAAAAAACACCCGTCGGCAGACAGAAAAACAACCTGAGGCTGAAAAGAGGTGGTCAGAAGAGGAGAGGAAGGGTGGAAGAGGATGAGGAGGGGGAGAGGGGAAAAGAGGCTGCTCCGCCTCGATGAGTTTCCAAAGATTTCAGACGAGCTGGCAGCTCATGTTTGAACAGTATTCAGTCAAAGATTATCATAGATTTTCACTCAAGTAGACATTATTTAACTTCTGTGACTCGTTCCGTTCTACACTAAAAATCAGACTCTTAGTGAGGAGGGGGGGGGAGCAAATGTGGAGGCTCTGTGAGCTCAAACAGCTGTAGGAGGGGGGACATTTGCTCTGGGCCACGTTAAAATAATGATGAGGCTACAGACGGCTAGCTGTGCTAGCTTGTGCGTCCCTGCTGGACTCACGGAGCTGGTCTTGTCCTGCAGCAGCTTCAGGCTGCTCCGGCACTGCTCCAGCTCCTGGTGGATGTTCAGCTTCTCCTTCTCCGTCCTCTCGTAGCGCTGACGCAGGTCCGACAGCTGCGACTGGGTGTCTTCGTACTGCGAGAGAAGAAAAGACAAAAAAAAAGACGCACAACGGGACGCTGAATCAAGTGACCGGGTCATTGGGGTTATGAGGCTTTTCCTGGACTGTGTAAGTGTAAATGTACATGCACTAATACAGAGTTTTTCCTACTCAAAGCGCTTTACACTGCGTGTCATTCCCCATTCTGTGCAGCTGTGGCTCAGGAGGAAAGAGCAGCTGCCCACTGATTGGAGGGCCAGTGGTTCAACTCCATGTTTCCTCCAGACCGCATGTCAAGGAGTCTTTGGGCAGGACTCTGAACCCCAAGATGCCTACTGGTGGCATCTGGTGTATCCACTGGTGCAACCAGTGTGTGAATATGTGTGTGAAAGGTGAATGACACGCAGTGTAAAGCGCTTTGAGTTGTCAGATTGACAAGGAAAAGCTCTATATAAGCGCATGTACATTTACAATTACACACATATTCACACACTGGTTGCACCAGTGGACACACCAGATGCAACCAGTAGGCAACTTCAGAGCCTTGCCCAAGGAGTCTTCGACATGTGGTCTGGAGGAAACATGGAGTTGAACCACTGATCCTCCAATCAAACTCTTTCCTCCTGAGCCACAGCCCCCAGTGAGACTGTGGTATGTTGAAAGGGTGAGGATGGAGGGCGTGGCTGGTGTGTGTGGTGGTGTATGTGTGTGTGTGTGGGGGGGGGGGGGACGCACCTCTTTCTGCAGCGTGTGTGTGCGGGCCTGGGCCTGGTCCAGCTGGCTCTTCAGCTTGCTGGCGTCCTGCAGGTGCTGGTTCTCCAGGGACCCCAGTTTGCCCTGCAACACCTCCTCCCTCTTTTCCAGAGACTCCAGACTGCTGCTGAGGACCAGACTCTGCTCCCTGGTGCTGTACACACACACACACACACACATACAGACACACAGATACACAGACACACACACATTTCATTACCACCTTAAGAAATCCCAGGATCAGCCTGATTAGTTTTATTCTCACTGCATTAATAAAATGTGCCTTTCTTTTACCCAACTGTTTTTTCCACCAAGATGGGGACGAATAAATAAGAAAACTAGTCTCAACATGTTCTTATGTTGATAAGTATGACTAAAATAAACATATTTATACATTAATATAATTTTTAAAACAAATCAAATGTAAAACTGTGACATATTAAAGGTAACTGCATTTTATTTCATATCACTGCTTTAGTGTAAACTATATAAACAGCATTTCCTATCACATTAACTTATTTATGTTTTTGTATTTAGTTCAGATTTTGACTGTTTGAGCCATCCACACCTGCAAAAGGAAAATATAAGATACTCTGGTGTTATTTTAAAGCTTTTGTGGAGGCGTGTGTGACTGTAGCTGAAGCTCAGGTAAAATCCTGCTGAGCTCTCCGCTCTCTCTCTCTCCCCTGAAGACAGAAGGCATTTTCAGCCCGTTAACCTGCTGACTGCTCCTTCTGCTTCATCCAGCCCGAATCAGCCTGAATCAGCTGAATATGAAGCTGCCTTTCCTCCTTCAAACCCTCAACCAGGTCCACGGACAGAGCTCCGCTCATCTGCCCCGAGATCTGATTCATGCATCTGTTTGGGGCTCCTATGTAGACTCTTGTTAAGCTTCCAAAGTTCGATATGTTCAGCTTTTTTTTCTTGTATTAGGCTCTTTATGGGGTGTCTTTAGTGGGCATGGCGAACAACCCACAAAAATGAGGATGCACAAAAGGAATAATCCTCAAGGGCTTCGTCAAGCCTACGGTTTTAAAAAAAGGAACTATCATAGGATTCACATCTTTGGCCTCTGTGTTAAAAAAAAGTATGTTTTTTTCTGCACTGAGTTCATTTCACCAACAAAAAAAAAAAAAAAAAGAAATCAACTCAGAACCTTAAAAGTCTGAATCTAAAAGTCTATCGCTTCATTTGTCTTTTTTTTTTTTATTTAATTTTTTTTTACCACAGCTCCATTGAAAATAATGTTTAAGAAAAAACATCTAAAGTTTTCATCCTCATTTCTTGAGCTGTTTTTCTAAAATAGGAGTAACTGTGTGCACTGTTGTGCTCAAAGACAGCTGACATGGAAACAACAGCAAATGTGTGGATGGGTGGAAACACGGTGAGGAAACGTTGTGTGTGGGCACCTGCTCAACTCCGCCTCCAGGTTCTGCAGCTTATCAGCCAGAGCCGTCCGTTCGGATCTCAGCCCGTCGCAGTCCTGCTGCAAACACTCACACCGCTGCTGCAGGGCCACGCACTCCACTGGGAGGGGAGGAAGGGGGGGGTAGTCTGTTAGCATCCGTTAGGAAAAAAAACAGTCAGAATACCCAGCGGAGGGTAGTTTTGGGTGGAGGCTGGACTCACCCTGCAGCTGGTTGGCCGTGTTCTGCTTCTGCTGCTGCTGCGTGAAGAGCTCCTGCAGACGGCTGATCTCCTCCTCGTACTTGGCGGCCGTGCTCCTCCAGTGCTCCAGCTCGCTCCGCACGCCGCCCAGGTCCGCCTGCAGGGCGGCGATCTCGCGTTCGCGCTCCGCCGTGGCCGCCTCCATGGCGTGCCGGAGGACGAGGATCTGGAAGAGAGGCGGGTCAGTGGGGGGGGCTGGAGCTGGAGCTGGAGCTGGACCTGGTGTGGGTGTGGGTTAGGGATGGGACGGTTTCTGAAAACCGTCTGAACCGTTCGGTTCGACTGTCTCGGTTCGATTTGCGTGTGTTGCGTTCGGTTCATGCTGCTCCTTTTTCTCATAGCGAAGCGTGTTCACTCCAGAGCAGAAGGGGGCGCTACTGCGCCCAAAGCCAACCACCAGTAGTAAACGAGAAGAAGAAGCGAAGCAGCGTAGCCGATAAAAATCTGACGCGCCAGCAGCACTTTATAGGTCTGCTGTATGGACCACTTTGCATTTAGAGGGAAGCACATGTTGGAATTAGTTTCCTCGCTTGCAATGCCAGAATCTCACCTACTTTTAACCTAAGACTGTCACAATAATGTATCAAATGTCAGACTGCTTTTTTCTTTCAGTTTTAACCTGACTATACAAGACATAATAGATTTTCCTAACAATCAACATATAGCGAACCGAACCGAAAACCGTGACCACGAAACCGTGAATCGAACCGAACCGTGGATTTTGGGAACCGTCCCACCCCTAGTGTGGGTGTTAGCTAAAGCCTGACCTCCTCCTGGGCCGAGTAGAGCTCCTCCCGGGTGCTGCAGATGGTGCTCTCCCTCTGCTCCCTCAGCGCCTCCATGTCGGCCTGCAGCTTCCCCAGCTGAGCTGTACACACCCACAACAAGCCGGGCAGGGACACGTTAGCTAACAGCGCGAGGAAACTAAGCGTCTCCATCCCCGTGTGTGTGTGTGTGCACTGACTCTGCAGGAACTGGATCTGTTTGGTTGAATCCTCGGTCAGTTTGGAGGTACTCCTCTTCTCCTCCTCCAGCAGAGCTACAGAGGAAGAAGCAAAGGTTTTAGCTACAGAGGAAGAAGCAAAGGTTTTAGCCCTGAGCCTGACGGCGCTTTAGGGCTTTTATAGCCACAGAAGTGGCTCCGGTTACCTTGCAGCTCCAGACATTTTTGCTTGCCAGTGTTGGCCAGTTCCTGGGCCTCCAGGAGCTCTCGGTGGAGGTGGTGGATGACCTGCTCCGTGTCCGAAGGCTCCAAACCGGCCCGTTGCAGCTCAGCTAGAAGCGAACAAACCCAAAAGGGATGATCTTAACCTATTATAATCTAATCTGACTACTGAGTGCATTCACTGATAAACACAGAGCTAATTAAACGGGTAGGAGGTTACCTTTGAGGAGCGCCACTCTGTTCTGTGGTTCGTTCAGCTCCTGGTCATCCATGTTGCCTTCTGAAAAAGGCAAATAACATATTAAAAAATAGTTTGCCTGACAAAAATAAGTATGTGTAATATAACCGTGTCAGCAGAAGTGGGAACGATCAAGACATGATTACATTTTATTATTCAGCCAACTCAGATTTTTCTGATTAAGCTTGAACAAAAGGGAAAAAATAAGCTCATTTTAGCTCAAAGAGGATGTTTTTCAAAGATAATTCAATTTACTATCTATTTAAATCAAAAATAGAACTAACTGTGAGTTTGGTAAAACCTGGAAAATGGGTGGACTCGTATTCGTGGTGTGAAAAGTGTGTCACAAAAGAGTGTTTTTCTGACCTGACGTGTCGTCGCTGCTGCGGTCTTTGCTCGGACTCAGCGTGTCCGACATGTCCGACTCTTTGGCGTCCATCTGATTCCCTGAGAGCAAACGGCAGCGAGACCTCTGTCAGCGCCTTCCACCAAACACCTCAATTCCCCCTTTTAGGCGCGGGCACGCTACCTTTGAGCCGGTCAGGACTTTCCAGGATGTTGTCTTCTGCCGTCTGGTTGTTCTGCAAGTGAGCGTCCATAACTTCTAAAACCACAAAGAACAGATAAACCTTTAGACTTCCAGCTCTTTGCCTTAAAGCTTTTAAATGACAGCTCTGTATTTGCAGTTTGTTTAATCTCTTGATCCGGCTGTTTGGTGTCAGAATGAACTAAACACTCAACTCTTACCATCAAAGTTGGCCAGTTTGTGTATGGAGGAACATACGGTCTCCTTCAGCTGTTTGACAGCTGCAGAGAGAAAAAAAGGAAAGCCAAAGGAGCAAATCATCAAAATGCTTCAATTAAGTTTTCAACGCCAAAATCTGGACTTGAACACATCATTATTCATTTGTCTCACATGGTGTAACATCCAGTTAATGCGAAGACTTGCAGTCATGCAGAAACCGGCTCAGTTTGATAAGGGACGGGTTAGTATAAGTGATCGGGATAACTTTGGGGGGGGGGGGGGGTTTTGCATGTTTTGCAGGGTTCATCGCTGTAAAGTCACTGAGTGAAACAAGACTCCAAAGCAAATTAACTTAGAAGGACCAAATACAAATGCAGATGGACCATGGAAATGAGGATTTGTGCGGGTTTGCCCACACGGGATCTTATACGGCACATAATGGCCGTCTGTTCAAACCTAAATGGCTTTAAGAGTATAGAAAGTGGTTATAAGAGTTTACGAGAGTTTATAAATTCCTAAAATATATATAAAAAATAAAATGAACATAAGGTCATGTGTCTCCTATCTATTGATGCCTATGGACGAGGGACTGCTTTATAATAAATAAGAAAGTAGATAAAGAAGACATGAGAAAGAAGCCAAAAGCAAGTTATCCCCCAACAATTAAGGACATTAATGCTGCAGACAACAAGCCCGTCGGGTCACGCCAACAGTTCAAAGACCCACAACCTTTTTTTTGGTCTTGTCGACACACCAGAAGAGAATCTGTCATACAAGTTCTCATTCAGCCAGTACCAGACGGCTCAACAAACACACACAAAAGGAGGTGTTTCAGAGAAAAAGAAAATACAAGAAGAAGCACAAGGAGATAAACTTTGAAAAGGTCTCCGAGCTGATCCATCGAGGAGCATTAAAAGTCAGCATGCAGAGAAAAGACTCAAAGGCCTGCTTCAGAGGAGGAAGGAAGCAGGTTTTAGTGGCCAAGCCACAAATCAGACCCCTTTGTTTTAATATGAGGGGAAACAACACTTCCAGAAATGCACCAGCAAGTAGAACCCCCCAGGTTTCTAACAGCAGAAACATGAAAGTATTCTTTTTTAAGAGAAGATTAGACGTCTTAGGTCTCACCGTACTGTTTAAAACTGGCAAAAAGGACTCAAGTGACATTTGTCTTTTTTAGGACATCAATATTCTGAAGAACCTCTGTTAAAATACTACTCCTGTAGGATGGTGGTTCCTTTATGATGAGGAATACATTTGGTGAATGGAAACTTTTTTGTTTCCTCCATCTGAAGGACAGGTGCCAGACTCCCCCCCTCCCATATGAAGCAAAGGGTGAACATGTGTAAGCACATTTCAGCCAAGGCAGAAAAATTAATGTTAATGTCAGAGACTACGAGATAAATTAATCAGAATCCTTTTTAGATTCTAAGAATCTTAAGTAAAAAAAAAAGGCATCAGAAGCTTGCTAATGTCAAACCAGAGAAAGAAGAATATCCTTGTTTTTTTATAAGTTAACCTTCAGTTTGTTCTCCATTTCTCTGCAGGATGGTGATGAGATTATTCAGGAAAGTGTGTTTCTGTGGGCAACAGGGCTGGAAGTTTGTACTCACGCGGACACTCAATCAACTGTTGGATTCTAGTAGAGTCTCCTCCACTGTTGACATGACAGTTGTCTGACAGAAACACAGAGGGCCGACATTACTTAGACGACTATGAGAGGGGCTGGCATCACTCTGTCTTTAAAAGATTTGATCGATTCTGCTTATCTATTCCAGATGGCACGGAACTTTCGCTCCAAATGGGACACAAACGTCCCTTAAAAGTTTTTTTCAATGCTTTTCACCCTTAAATTTCCCATCCATGTGTTGATCCGCTCGTCCCTAAACTGAGATGTCAAATTTACCTCTCTGGTTCAAATAAGCAGAATCAGAAAAATCCATGTCAAACAAACACTGGACTCCTTTTCAGAATTAGCTCTTCATTCTTAAACCCGAAATACTGAAGGCGAGTGAAGCCGCAGAGTAGAAATTGTGATGGAGAACGGACAAACAGGCGGGTAGGAAGCGTGGCAGTGCTGGCGACTCAAACAGAAACTGGCCAGAGGGACAGGACGCCAACCAAAGCCAAAGACAGTTGGCATCTTTACACACATGTAACACAGAAACTGCATGACGCACGCAGACAAGACACGAAAGTCTCCAAACAGCAAAAACATCCTAAACATGAAAACTTAGCATTGTTCTTTTTTTTAATCCAGAATTTGGTCTTTTTTTAAGCATCTCTGCACTCAAATGCTGATTAAATTTCACAACGTCAGGAAGTAATTTGGTGCTGCGACTCGCTGAATCAAACTGAAAATCAGAAAGATACCGACTTTAATTGATACAGATTAAAATGAATAAAGACTAAAACGATATCTTAATGAGCTTAAAATTGATTTAAATAACTGTGAGACTCAGAGGCATACTAAGACAGGTTGGCAAATGGCCGGCACCATAAAAAGAGATTAAGTGTCTTTAAATTCAGGTGCTTTTAAGTAGAGGGTTGCTGGTTTGAATCCAAATAATCATTTGATGTGTTAGATTGCCCTGAACTCAAATAGACCTCTAAGTTTTCATCACAGGTTTAATAACTGAATGTAACGTAGAACGGAAACCGTCCTCAATCGGATCAGGTTAGATAAATATTCCTTTTTTTTTTTCTTTGGGTTCAGAACCCGATCCGAGGGCACTGAGAAGGGGCACAGAGGATCCAGTTTAAGGATTTCCCTTATTTTTGGTATTGGACTGGCATTGTGCAGACACCGTGAATGCGACACACAGAACAGAATCCTTCTCCAGTAAAGAAAATCTGGTGTAAAAGTAATCATCAGAAATGCAAAACACTGTAGCTACTTTTAGAAAGTTAAAACCTTTTTTGTCACCTATTACATTAGCTGCCGGTCAGAATTCCTCTACTTCACTCACAAGTGCTTCACACAACCCCACCCAAAAACTTTATTAAATCTTACATTAATTACCTATATTTACTGATAACATTTCTATATAAAGTATGATTTAGGAATCTGGATGGTTGGATATAAGTCTAACTTGCTTTGATTCATTCATCACTGTGGAATCTGACTGGATTGTTTTATTTTTTTTTAGTGAAGAAGTCTATAAATCAAACTGTTTGTCATAGTAATCAAACTAACTACCATCATCTCCATCTTCACCAACTGCACCATCATCGGTGTCTGTATCCCCCTCATCCTCCTCTTCCTCCTGGCTCTCAGGTGTCTGCCGGCTCTGTTTGTCCTCAACAGGCTCCTCTACCGGTCCGTGGGGGACAATGTCGACATCTGTCATGTGACCAGATCAGATATATATACACCATTGGGTCGAAACTTCGCCAGCCACACAACATGCACAGAACAGTGTCTCGATGATGGTCAGACCCTTCAGAAAAAGTGGCTACGGTGGGAAAGTTGTGCAGTGAGACAGTCACCTGCAGCGCTCTTAGCACAATGTCGCCATTCAATCACCAGAAGCCAGTGACCAAAAGCTTCTTTTCCCCCGGAAGAAGAAAAAAAAAAACAAAGCAGCAGACAGTTTGGAAACTGTGGAAACAACCCAGATTATCCAACAAGCCCCGTTTAGACCCGACAGAACGCCAACGTGACCCGAGACAACTTTCAAAAAGACACCAAACATTGTGGCTGCATTTTGGCTCAATGAAACTGCAGGTAACGTGACGCACTACTGCTCAGAAAAAGTCTGTGAATGCACAATTTTGAAACCAGCTATTTGGTCAAATGGGAATCCTGCGAATGTTCACGGTGAGTCTGTGTTGGGTTTTTGACCAGAGAATGATTTAAGGATATTTTTTGATGCCCTAAAGGGGAGCTTTCACAGGCATGGATGACAAGCAATGATGGAAAGAGTCCAGCTCTCCATTAAGACTCTGTGCACTTCGGCGTGCACATAAGCATGCACCGAGTATGAGAAAAAGGGATGAATGTGTCCAAATGGAAGCTAAATCTCCTACTTTCCTGAACTTTGCATAAAACTTAATGTAAAGCTGACCAATTCAGTAAAATAGATCCTGGTCAAACTCACAATGATCGCGTTTTAGTATCAGTCAGTCAGAGCAGACTCAAGTCAATTTGATAAAAAGTTTTTAATCTCAGTTTTTCTAATCCAACTGCTGACAAAGTGTGCAGAGACCAGCGGGGACTGGGATCCGTCCACTAACACCGACAGCACCTAAAGCAGCGGCTCCTGGACAGCTCGTCTCAAACCCGGTTTCAGACTGGATTTATCAGTTTTCCCATCGTGTTTGAACTTATCGCTACAGTTTTCTGTTAGCAGGAACCGCTTTTTGTTTGGAGGCTGGGCCAGGTGGTCTTTAAACTGAGGATCAGAGCTGCTAGTCCTTTTCCTTTCATTGGAGAGAGGAGGCGTACATTTTTGGTTCTGTTCTTTCAGACTTTATTAAGAGGCACGTTTCTTTAATAACTTTTGGTTGGAGTCTCTATGTTCTTTTTTTTATTTGATTGGAATAATCTCGCTAATTTTATTTCATTGCGCTCTTATCACAAATGCTCAAATAAAGGCGCAGTACTTTGAAAATATTAGTATTTTCTTTTAAACTTCCTGGGTCTGTCACTGAACTAACTCTTGTTTGCAGATGCACTATTATGTATTATGATTGCCTCTGCCTGATCAGCATTTGTGTCCCCTATCAGAGGTAAATCAGTAAATAAAGAACACCCATTCACTCAAACGCCAGAAACAGAGGACGAAAAACCAGATTTCCACCTAAACACAGAATGAACAGAGGAAAGCCAGAGGAGAGCAGGCGGCATCATGCAGGACGCGGTCATGCATCGTTAGTGCAGGATGAGGGAGTGAGGTTAGTGACCGGAGGCAGAGAGGAGGCGTGTCCCGGACACGCGGGGACTCACCGAGGCTGTTGTTCTCTTTTATGCTTTTTTCTTGAAGCTGTTCTAACCGCGCTGTGAACAACAACAACAGAGAGAAGCGTTGACCCACAGCAACTCCCAGCTGGACGGTGGCGAGTTCGGACCCAGCAGCGAGGCGCCACGGCTACAGCTTTGTCTGACATAATATGCTAACTTATGAGAGGCTAAACAGAGCTGTGTGTGCGGCTAGCTGTCAGTTAGCAAGTTATCAGCGATAAAATCTGTTATTGAGACACATCGTGAGGAAATAAGCAACCTCTAAGGTTAAAAAAAGAAGCTATCACTCACTAATTTTATTATTGTGATGTCATTGTCTGAACGTGTGTCTTGACTAATATTGTATTATGTGATTTTTTTATCTACCTGCCTCAGGACGACAGATGTAAATGAGCAACTATGCTATAATCTGGCTCATTTACAATCTGTACTGAAGTGTAAGATTGTTCATTAATGAATACTGTCCTGATTGAATAAATAAATAAATAAACAAACAAGTCAGCATCATGTAGACCTAAATTTCAAAGCAAAGACTTCTCTCCAGGTTCTGATTCAGCTTAGATCTAGACAACCGGAGGTTGAGGTGGGGGGGGGAGATGTGTGTCTGTACCCTGCAGGGCAGCGAGCCGCTCGTTGGTGAAGTCGTTGTCGGCCTGCAGAGCCTCGATGCGAGCCTGGAGAACCTGCTCCTTCTCCTCCATCTCTTCGATCTTCATCTCCAACTCCCTCTTCTCAGTCGCCCCCCGCTGAGTCAGTTCCTCCTGCCGGCCCTCTGCCGCCTGGAGAGGTGGGAGGCAATACAGCAAGGTGGGAGGGGGCCACATCGAACCCCAAATATAAGATAGGCAGGACAGAGCAGACTTATTTAAAGAAGAGGAGAGTCGACATTGTATATTTGTAAACGTATTTCACTGGAAATAATCTGGATGGTTGTTCCTCTGTGAAAGCAACAGCACAGTAATGCTTTTGATTGGCTGTTGGGGTTTGGTTATTCGGCTTTGGGGAACATCTGGCCGATTTAATAAGCTCCTTTACCGAACAGAAAGGGGGCCGCCTGGCATTTTTACCTTAATTTTATCGGTGAGCTCTTTGATCTCGTTGACGGCGGCGTTGTACTTGTTGGCCAGCTCCCTGAGCTCCTCCTGACCCCGCTCGGACATCTCCTTCAGGTGGGTGCACTCGTCCTCGGTGTTGCTGAGCGAGCGCTGCCGGACCACAGACCCAAAGAAGCTTAGATTTCAAAACGCAAAGCAGATAAAAACGGACCGCGTGCACGCAGCTAATGCGCCCCTGCTGTCGTACCTCCACCTCAGACAGTTTGAGGACCACGTCAATCTTCTCCTGCAGGACGGCCCTCAGGGACTCCTTTGCCCTCGTCTCATAGTTGTGTTTGTCCTCCTGGAGAGCCAGGAGCTCCTTTCGGATCCCTTCCTCTGGCTGGGACTGCAAGAGAATTGACATTTAGCAATAACCACACAATGACCAACAGACTATTTATTTCTAAATGATTCTGACGGGAGGGGGTTACCTTTGAGTAAGCCTGTAACTGACTGCCCATCACCTCCAGCCTGGAGAGAAGACGGTCCTCGTCTATCAGAGCCTGCCAGAGACACAAACCCAGTTTAAAAGGAGTCCCTGGCTTCCCAACCACGATTTATTCACCCCAAAAAAAGTTTGAATGATATTCACAAACAAACAGCCAAACAAGACGGAAATGGAGGCTTTCTGTGAGGGAGAGAACCACAGAGGGTCGTCTCAGTGGACAAACATCACGGTGAGGAGGCGTCGGCTGTTTGGTTATAAAGTACGTTTGAGCTTTAAGGCTGATTTGCCCATTTGGAACGGACTGGAAGAGTAGAGGGCTGAACAATAAAGGTCTGAAGCCTCTCGGTTCCTACCTGCCAGCTGCTCTCTGAGGCCTTCTGAGTGTTGGTCAGCAGACGCTGCAGAGAGGCTAACTTCTGCTCCAACATCTGCTCTCTGTGTAAGGCCTCCTGGAGAAAAAAAGTTAAGAGGAGTTAAATCATCCCCGAGGAACAAAACAAGAAGAATTGGGCACTTAAGAGAAATCTATCTTTGTGCATAGTCTTTGCACACATTTTATAGAATTATGGAAATGGTTACACTCATTCAAGCTATTTGTCTAAGTCTGTAAAAAATATATTAAAAAATAACAAATAAACAAATAATAATCAAAATAACAAATCAGGCGACAGTCCTTTAGAGGGAATTCTATGTACTTCAGAATAGATTAATAGTTAATGAGTAAGATGCCACAGAAACACAAACCCAGACTAATTTCATCCTACATTCATTGCTACATATGTGCTCAAAAGAAGAACTAAAAGAAAAGGTGTTCAGAGATTATCAGACAAGTTGTTATTTTCTAATTCAACGCTTTCAATGTGCATTCGCTAAAGTTTGTGATCAGCCTCTGCTCTTTGTCCTTTAGGGTGTAGCTCCGCAGAGCAGCCAGCAGGTGTCAGTGCGTTACCTGTAAATACTGGGAGAGCTGGAACAGTTCCTGAGAATACATACTGGGAGTGTTGGCTGCAACCTGGGGAGCACACACACAAACACATACGGATAAATATTGGCTGATTGAAGAAGCAGAAAGAGGCTGAAGATGCTGCCATGCTCACGCATACACAGCCCAGATAAACAGGGGTACATAGGAGTCTACAATTCAGACACAGTGTTAGGACGCAGGCAGCCTTAGATTTATAAGAACTTTAATCAAAATGCAAGAGAAAACCGACTGTCCACAGTACTTTTAGGCATTTATACATTTTCTCTATTCAAGTACCCTGAAGACAAAAACTGGTAACTCAGCTCATCTTAAGCAGAATAAAATAACTGAATACGCTTTAGCAGGACCGACCGGTTTTGACGACCGATCCCATGAGGCATTTGAGGTCCTTCACATATAAAATAACCTCAGATGACATGATAAGACGGGTCCTCGCTCATCACAAGGCGTTTACTCTTTTACAGCTCATGTTCTCAAAGATTTGAGAAAATGTTGTGACACAGGGGAGCCTGTTGCTGCTCACTGAGACGTCTTAGTGCCTAAAAATACAACAACATTTCAGACAAAAGGTCAAGTTTTTAGTCAATTTCCATTCAAATGAAAGCTAAATGTCTTTAAAGCATTATTCCATTAGTTCTACTGCTGTTCACTCCAAACAGAAGCGAAGCCTTTAGTACCAAAGACTAACGCAGTTACCAGCATGCTCAGATGCAGCTGAGGAAGAGTGTGAATTATCAATGACATAAATATGGCTATTTCTGAAGTGCTGCTGTCTAGCTCCACGTGCTAATGAAACAGCCGGGTGTTTAATTGCCCCAGACATCCGTCACAAAACATCGCGAAAAGGTTTCAAATAATAATCCGACGCCCAGGCAATGGAGCGCAGGCCATCATTCATCTCAGATGAACTAACACGGAGCTGGAAACATTTACTCAGGGATGTGGATTCAGCCCTCACATGACCATAAGAACGGTTATTTGATTTGACTCCATTTCTGAATCCTCATACTGCTTTCGCCCGTGTAAAAGCACCGATGAAGAACAACAGACAACATTGCTATACTTGGCTCATTTGCATCTTTACAGGCAGGACAAGCTTTAAAAATAAGATTTACAAACCTCATCTTCACTTAAAATCTTGCTGCATTCACGTTATCTCTAAACTGGGAAGTTCAAACTTTTTTTTCTCACGTTTTAATATTGCAAGCAAAGTCCTGTTGTCAGGTTTCTGGCTTACTTAAGTGGAAAACTCTGCTAATAAAGCTCTATTAGTGCTTTTTAAAAATATTTTATCGTCTAAAGTGACTTATTAACTGTATGATTATATGATTTTAATAGGTGTTTTTCACCCTCATTCGTTCATGCATCACACAAACAGGTCAGACTTTAAATTCAGATTTGAAACCCCAGCCGTAGTATGAAGAACAGCACTCTTAAGCTTCGAAACGCAGAGGAACGGGGCGACAGTGAAGCTCACATTCGGGAGCAGATGTGCGAAGGAGGAATTAGTTTGCAAGTTTTGACTCGAGTACAACCTGAAGGCTGGGCGCCGCAATCTGTGCAGAGCCTAAACAGCCTGAGCCAGTTCGGTGGCTAAACTGGGCCCCAAAAAAATGGGATTAGGACCCACTGCCTGCAGCCGACTGCAGACAAGGAAAACTTAACTGTTATAGAAGTGGATTACTAAAGGAGGGTATCTCCACTGGTTTTGGTTGGCGGCAGACTGAGCTCAGAATGATAATCTTTACTTTACACTTTGCCTCATGGTGATCTCCTTAATACAGATCAATCTGAGCAGAGCTGTGACTTCATGGTTGAAAAACATAATATTTTGATAAAAAATATGTCAGAAAATGCTTTGAGATGAAAAAGGAGCTAATTAGCCTTATTTTAAAAACAGGAATAGCTTTTTAAAATGTCATTTTTGTTAATACACACATTTACTATTCTGCAAATCTGATGGATATCTTCATATGGGGAACAAATCCCTCTTTAACACCATTTATTTGCATTTTAGGTGTAATTTGGTATCAAAAAGCCCAAACAAAACGCAGAATAAACTAAAAAATGATTTCCAGCATTACTACTTTTCCATGCATCTTGTTGTATTGTAGCTCTACACTCTCTTATTTATAGGTTGTAGTTCTTCCTCTCTCACTGCTGCCACCATGTTTGGACCGGGCACAGAAAGAGTAACACACTGAAAAGTGTGTGTGTAAGTGGCTGCGCGTAGCCTGTGCCACCGGGAGTGTGTCTTCAGAGACCTGCTTTCGAGACCGGTAATTATATCAGAGAAGCAGCTCAAATCTAATCACAGCTCCCATAAACACACTCACACATCAGCCTGCATTCCTCAGATGGGTTACGCCGAGCGCCGGGGGGGGGGGCAGAGGAGGCTAAAGCAGCACATTGTCGCACAGGACAAAAACTACTCCTGACTCTTGGTTTCACGTTACTGGGTTTCCAACTCCGTGTCAAACATTGTGTCGTGTGCTGCTATCCTTCTGTTTACTACCAGCTGATCTCACTCATTTGGGATAATTGGAGCATATTTTGGGTGAACAGATACTGACCAGAGGAAATTACCATGCAGCCGAGTAAGATTTCTTTTAGGGTAAAACCATCATAGTAATTTCATCTGAGATTAAAGTCTTGTCAGTTGTTCTTATATATGTAAATAGAGATACAAAGTGTCCACCAAGGGACATGAAACGGAGGGCCAAGTTATTTGCAACTTAATGAGTTTTTTTTTTCTTGTTAAGATTTGGTTTCATGACAAATATTTGAATTTAACAAAAAAAAAGGTTTTGCTGGACAAGATTCTGACCAGATGTACAAATCCATCAAAGCTTCAATCCCCATAAAGTATCTCATTAAACACAATCCAGCCTCGTTTTAAGATACAGGGGTCCTACACTTCTACATTTCCAGTGACAACAAGAGAAGAGGTTCAAGCGATTTAGACTTTGGAGATCAAACGTGAAAAAACATCCCAAAATAAAAGAAAAAAGGGAGAAAAAAAAAGCACTAAAGCAAAACAAAGACGTCTGCGTTTCCTGTAGTGCTGCTGGCATGGACCCCTGCATTCCTCCATCAGCTGACTACTCCAGTCTGTGTGTGTGTGTGAACACACCACCGACGTGTTATCAAGCACAAGCACAACACACACACACCCCCACGCACACACATGGGACAGGGACAAAGGAAATTCAGCACTCTTCTGCTCTTACCTTGTCTACAGGTAGTGGTAATGGAGCCTGGATGACACTGGAAGAGGAAGAGAGGAGAGAAAAACAGTTGGTCACCATGGAAACAGCGAGGAGCAAAGACATATGGGATAACCATGGTGACGCACACACAGGCACACCAAAAAATAAAAACAGTCCTTGAAGGTCAGGGGAGATTTTTTGTTGACACCCTTACACTCGTAACTGCACACGCATGATTATTACTGACACAGATTTTGAAAAGCAGCTCAAACTGATGATCACGATCAAATTCGAGGGTCCAAAGAAAACCAGGCGTTATTCATCAGATCCTTCCTTATGTTAGGATGTTGGCGAGTGAGTTCAATCAGAGAATCACGGAGCTGGAATCAGAATTTCTTTTTAAAATTCTGTTTAAGGACAAATTGAACTGAATAGCTTGAATGCGATTTTTTCTTTGTAGACATCAAGCCAAATATTAATAAAACCAATTTTAGATGAATGAGGTTTACCTGTTTTGTTTGGATAGGAAGGCCAGCTTCCAGAATTCCAGATTTTCCCTGAAGGAGTAATCCCGGGGGATAAATAAACTTGAGTCTAAGTCTAAGTCTAAGCTTTGTGCATTAGTAGGACATCTACGGCTTTGTGTTGTGTTACTGTGATTTCAGGAACGCGAAAAAGGTTACACGTTTGTTTGAGAGTTCAGGAATGAAGGAAAACTGGCCCCGAAGGAGAACAAAACTTCACTCTGTTAAAGTTTTACCATCAGCCGCTAACTCTCTGTAGGTTTGCACAAAACATTTAGCGTGGAAAAAAAAAAAGAGCAAACCCAACACGGCGAGCAGAAACGATTTAACATAACGGCTTTTACAGGCCAAACAGGAATAGTGTCCTCTGTTTCTAACGTCAGTGACTGACTTTTTGCTCTGCCGTGTTACACATTCGGAGAAACAAACAGAAGTTTTGTGCACGGCGAAAAAAAAAAAAACGTTCGGCATCACGAGATCAAACTCGGGTCGCCTGACACAAAGAGTTCAAACGTGAAGTGGAGCAACACAACACAGCTGGAAGAAGAGGCCACGGCCGAGGAAGTTTCACTTTAAAGGAGGAGCCCAAACCTTTCATGTCCAATCTGCTTCTGTATCTTTGAAATGCTGTTTTAAGAGCTCCAGACGAAGCTGCTTGGAAAAATTCCTGATAGGTCAAAGAGGGTCTTCAACTATGAAGGAAAAATACAAAGAAGCCTGAGATTGTCTTTGATTTGGCCGTTTTTCAGAGTGATCCAACACCCGGCTGAATGCTCTCGTTACCAGACTAACTAGGCTATTAAGGGTTATAAACCCCCCTTTTAGTTTGCCTTTTAAAGGCGAGCGAAAGCGGTGTCGAGCTGACGGGTTTTAAACACCGCATCCTGGTTTGTTGGATGGGTTTGGTCACAGCTTGTTCCCTAAAAATGGCAAAAATAAGAGGCTCCTCAGCTCAGCTGGGAAAAAAAATTTAACAGGAAAAAAAGATTTTATCAAAAGACAAAACTGGCAACTATTGAAGTATTTTAGACTATTAATTAGACATTTATCATTAACATTTCAACTGGTTATTCAAAAGAAAATCAGCAGTTTAGTTGAAGAATGTGCTTTGAGGGCCTTTTCAGCTGGAAATCATGACACCAAAGTCGGCATTAATATGGCCTTTTCTTTCAGAGACTCAATTTTGGGGATCTGGTTGTTATGAAATGGTTTTGGCTCTTTATCCAAACAGTTATCTACATCCTTTTTTATTAAATTGCAATTAACAACACTTTTAGATTATCCTTAAATGAAGAAACGAAGACAGAGCAAGAGTCTGGCCGTTTGACAAATGCTTTCATTTCATTTTAAGCTCAAAGCTAAAAAGCAGGACACAGAAATGATATTTCCAAAAGCTCTGGCAGCAAATTAAATGGAGTCCTGCGCATTTAGAGCCGGTGGTGCAAGTTATCTGTGGAAACCAGGACAACAACAAGCCCCGCACAGCAACATAATCCATCACAGTGAACACCAGAGACTTCATTTTCATCCCGGGTTCACTGTGCTGAGTAAGCGTTTTCTCAGCTGCATAAAAGCTCGGCTGCCTGTCAATCACATGACTCCCCTAAAACAACTCAGGGCATCACCCAATGAGCCAAATCAAAGTTTTATCTTAATATCAGAGCAAACCTCTTTAACAGCAGGTCAGAAATTAACCCTCTGGGGTCGAGCTGGCCATTCCGTCGACTTTTGATTTCTTTATTTGACTTTAAAACTTTAAGTTTTGCTGCCTTTAGTGCCACTTTTTTCCAAAGCAGCCTCCCCTTTAGACATGCCCTGACAAAAAAAAACCTATTGGACAGAGTGATTTTTGTGGAGTATTTATGGAGGTTTTTAAGCTGAATGCTGCATTTAAGTCATGCAGGATTTATTCCAGCCACCTTATCATGACTCCATATTTTTTAGTACAGGAAAAGAGGGCTGAAGTTGGTTTTAGTATTTAACCAGACCCACACAGCTAAAGGTTTTTTAACGCCCCGTCTAATAATAGCCGTCCCTGCATCCTCACTGGCCCTTTTGCTGGTCGAGTGTCTGCAAACGAAGCTTTTGGAGTGTCAGATGGTCAGGGTTAACATCCGGCTCGGTGCAGTCTCCCGTTACTTTACGGAGCACAAACTGGACGGTCCACGGTATGAGATGGTTGGGGCACCGGTCCAGGTCAATATGACATCTTGAAATACGTGGGATAAAATGAGACAAAGTAAACGCGGCTTACATCTTTGCTGCATCAGGAGACCAGGAAGTTGTACAAATCTGGACCATTTTTGGAATTTCAAAACAGGATTTGTTTGGACTACAATAACCATGAATTAGACCCAAGCCAACATAAAATAATCAACTATCTAAAAAGAATTAAAATACTAAATCAAAATGTAACAAATATCTACAGAAGCTTGAGGCTGATTCAGAAAAGATGGGTACTTGGAAGTTTGTTGGTTTCTTTTTTTTTTTTTCTTTATGTTTTTTTTTTTTTAAAAGGCATCCGTTATGGTTTTATTATGAGTATAATCAGAGTTAAAGGTGCTCCAGCATGGCTGGACGAGCCCTGTGGACACTCCCTTCACATCAGTTAAATGACAACATGACCAACACGCAGGAGTGTTTAGCATCATAAAAGAAAAGATGGAGCTCAATGCAGCTGAACCCAGATTTTTTTAGCCATGGAACACTTTCTTTGGACCACCAAAATTCCCAGTGAACACTTTTTTCCCCCGGCAAGAAATGGCACTAAATCCACAGCGTGGTGGGACCTAAAAGTCAAAGATCCGGAAACGTCTGCCTGCACAGACACAAGAAGTGCAGCCGTCCAGATCAGATCTCAGAGTGTTTTGCATGCAGTCCAGCGGAGTCTGATGATGGAAAACAGTGGCAGTAGTTTCCATCTGGGTCGTGCTCAGATATTTCTACCACTAGATTAGCTTCAGGTGGACCTCTAAAAGTCTACATTATCGACTAGTCGTCCATGATGATAAACATTCTTTAACATAAGACACCAGGGAGAGCCAACACACGGTAAATCTAAATTGTAATAGCTTTAACCTGCATTCGTTAACACAAAACTAACCAAAACAAACCACTTTAGGCCAACAGACCCATTCACAACAGGAAGTGGACCAATAAACAGGCTTTGTAATAGTCGAGTAAGGTTTTAAAAAGGCCCCCTTTGTTGAGGGATGCATTTAGCTGTGAAGCGCCGTGAAATATCCGCCTGATTGGGATCTTCTGAGCCCGAACTGCTCAGAACGTCCCGGCAGCAGACGTTACCTGTCAGGTCTTCTTCCTGTGAGCGGCACAAAGTGATTTGTCACAGGGCAAAGTTCACCACTCGGCCTCTCGCTCAGCCATTCCTCCAGCTGCTCCTGGGAGAAAAATCAAGCCTTTCCTCTCACTGCATTTTCCCCTTCTGGGTTTCTGAGCGAGACGCTGATTGCTCTCTAGTTTTCCACAGCGTGTGTGTAGTCATCACATAAAACAAAACACCAAAAAAAAAGGGTTTCTCTGTTTCTCTTTACGCGTTGTGGCTCCTCCCCCCTCCTCTGGGCCAAACAGCTGATTTTTCTTCCTTGAACTTATGCAAGCCGGAGTAGCTCCGCCCCTCCTGGAACCCAGCGAGGAAAAAAAACCTCAGTTTGTCCTGCTTCTTCTCTGGTGTTTGGGGAGTTAAAGGTGAGCTGCATCCCTGCCGCGTACCTGCAGGGGGGCTCGGGCTTTAGCCTTCAATTCAGCTGAAACTCAGAAGGCCAGGTCACATGACCACGAGTGAGTGCAAGCGTGGCTTTTTTTAAGACGAGCGGTTTTATCCACAACTGTGTGCTCACGGTGTAAGCGATACCTTTTTCTTAATCAGGTGGAAGAGGAAGTTGCGTCACGGCTGAACCAAATAAGGACGCTGTCACATGTCTACTTTACGGCTTGCTTTTCTCAGACAGGAAGCTTTTGCTGTTCAGGATTTCTGAGCATTTTTTTTTGCTTTTTCATTTATATTTCGCCAAAAAAACAAAAACAAAAATAGGGTTTGATTTGTCTTGTTTGGCACAACTTATTTTTGTTTAACCTCAAATGTGAGCGACTTAATATTTTTAATTATTCCAACACACGGTTAATACATCCGACCTGAAACTCACAGAATTAATCAAACCAGCAGTAAGAAATTGTTTTCAGGACTTAAAATGGAAAACACACGTTTACAAATTTAGCAAACGACGACGTTATAAACAACTGTTTCCACTCAAATGCAGCTATGCTTGGGCCGTTTTGGATCAATTATTTCTAAAACAATAGTTTTCCCAATAAGATGCCACGCACATTGTTCCTGTCCAAAACGCACTTCTCCTCCACTTCTCGCTCACGTGACCTTAACATTCAGCACAGAAAAGATAAGCGGTCGTCACTGGTTTTATTCAGCTGATGAACATAATTTAAACACTGGGTTTTGGTTTTAGCCTGAACCTAACTCAAGGCTGCATCTGGATGCTACGTCATCGTAAATCGGCCCTTTAATTTGGACCCCGGATGGCTAAATATTGTGTTGTTCTCCGTGTTCTCTTCTCTGTGTTTCATTACGTGACTAAGAAAGTGAAAGAGCTTTGATGGTGAGTCATGTAAACACATAGAGAGACTTTTTCTGGTCAAACACAGCCAGAAACATCCCAGCAGGTGTTTGGCATAAGATGGAGTGAGTTCCTTTACTCTCTCTTCTTTTAACTCTCAAATGATCCTCAACTTTGTCCTTTCTGAACAGATTTTCTAGTAGGATAATGTTATTCTTTTGAGTTACCAGAAGTTAAGATTTTTAGGTGTACAAGTTCTTCCATCGTACAGCGAACAACTGGACAGCAGCAGATCCATTCTGCAGAAATCAATCCATTCCTCAGAACTGGCTTCTTCTTGTTCGATATCAGAGGGAAATCTTGAACAGCAAAGATGTCAGTTTGTTCAAATCTGACAGAAGGCAGGAAGCTCAAACAATATGAGGTTAGGAGGTGACAGCTGTCATTACAGTTTACTTCAGCCTCACTTCCTTCACACCGTCGATGTGTGTTAAGCTCACTGGAAATGAACAATTAAACTCATATCAAAGGAAAATAAATCCATGGTTTAATGGAAGCTCAGGACTGCCTCGATGTGGCCATTTCTATTATGTAAATTCACAGTGAACGCCACAGATCTGATTAGACCTAAACTAATGTGAGCAGCCACAGAAAACTCAGACAACACTTGTGTTGTGATGGTGACTGTTTTAAATGCAGCTGTAGGTTATTTACCATGAAGATCTCTTGTCCAAAAAGGGAAAAATAACCAAATATTGTCACTTAAAACTTTGTGTAAGATTTAAACTGACAGTCGTCTATTTTTCCATCACGAGCCACCTTAGAACAAAGTGAAATCCCCACTTTTAATAATTTATTTGTCGTAATTTGGCGTTTTTATGGGTTTGACAGATTAGCTTCAGGATTAGTTTGACTCTTATCTGTCAAAGTCAGCTCTCTGTATTTAAAATATTCTGATTTTAGGGAGGTAGGGAGACAATCTGCTGTTATCTTTCACAGAACCACATCATGCCTGTTGGACTAATGCGAAAATTCTACAGCTCGAAATGAGGATTTTTCCCCCCTTCATTCTCACAGAGTGAAATAAAATAAAATCAAAGCAATTCAAAGGCAATTTGAAACATATAGTGACGTCAGGCAAACGGGTTAAAGCCGCACAACGTGACAACTCAAACTGAGACTCAGTTTTCCAGTCTGAGAAACCCTTCACACTGGAAGGCATTTCTAGTTCAGTTTCAGAGGCCAAAACTGGAATTGAATCACAAAAGCACGGAAAAACCTGTTTAGTAAACAAGTCTGTGCATATAGAGTCAAAGTTTTTAACTCTTCCAGTTGTAGTTCAGTCTAGGTAAAGGAAAGGAAAGGACATTCTTACTAATCTAAGGATGGAGTGAAGGACAGAAGCCCTCGCCGCTGGGCTTCACCTGTCTGAGAAGGGTTAGCATTTAAACGGGTCGGGATGCTCGTCTGTGTTTTCCAGAGAGAGAAAAACTGCAGGGGCAGCAGATGGTGCTGCCCACCGCGCGCACGCACGCGTGTTCTCCACATGGCAGGAGACTCGCACACAGACAGGCGGGTGGAGCCCCCGGTACAGTAGGAAGCGCCACGCTGTGGGAGCGGCTGGTCGCTTCCAGCCCGTTTGACTGTACGTACAGACGGAAAAGCCCCACGGTTTTACAAACATGGCAACGCTCGCTGTGGACGTTAAACGAGACTCCCGCAATCCCAACGACAGGCTGTCCGCTTTAAGAGAGCCCCTCACAAGCAACTGGACAGACAATAGTCTTATCACAATGCGTGTGTGTGTACGAGAGAGAGAGAGAGAGAGAGTGTGTGTGAGAGAGAGAGAGAGGAGAGAGAGCAGCCAGACTGTCACTGAGTAACCAGACAATCCTTCCACCTTTGGTAATTGGTTTAGATCAGTTCCGTTGTAACAGAAGGGGCAAAAACACACACACACACACACACACACACGGCTGATGAGAGGCGGTTGTAGGAGCTTCATAAATCGATGACTTACTCGCTTCGCCGGCGGGCCTCCATCCCGTCAGGTAGGAAGAGTTTGATTGTGGACACGATGCAGCCATGGGTGACTGGAAACACAAACAGCCAACAGAGTTAAGGGGGGGCTGGTGCCCAGAACGAGTGTGTGATTGAATCATTATACGTTTGCGGTGTCGATGGGGCAGAGCTTCCTCCCATTTAGGATGCATTTAGGTCCAGAACAATTTATTCTCTTATGGAGGCTATTTTTATGTGTAAGGCGATCGGTCTGGGGCTCTTGAGCCCGTTTCGTGTCCGTCAGCTGCCATGCGGCTCCTTTTCCGCTCGTCCTGGCAGGCCCTAAATTTGGTCTATGCTTATTTTCTGACCGTCACGTTAACATGGTCATTTAGCTTTTTTGAACGGGCACTATTAAAGATTCCTATGCCAGTTAGTTAGGTGGAATACAGTATTAGCTGTACAATAAATGAATGAAAAAAAGGGTAAAAACCTGAGAAAACTAATATTTTGATGGATCTCCAAGTCAGTAAATCAAATCCGAGGGTGAAACAGAAGTCTAACACTGGGCCTCGTCCCCTAAAGTATGCCTAAAAATATTCTTAGTACTTCAGTTGTTCAGCATTATTTTGAGAAGACTGTACATTAGATTTATGAACGTGTTTGCAAAATGTGAAATGGACTGATGAACGTTGAAAGCCGTCCCTAATTAACAGCAAATGTCTGAAAATTAAAATGAAATGGCAGAATGAGAAGGGACGGGTGACGACAAACAGATGGGACAGTGATGATAAAGACTGACAGTGAACAAACGGAGCCTCACTGTGAAGCCAAAAATAAATAAATACATAAAAAGAATAAAAAAAAAAAAAAACAACTTCATAACCCTGAGGTGAGGGCACAGATGCAGGAGTCACCATCAATAAGCAGAAATAATAATAAGTTACAGAACGTGAGGAGACTCATCACAGTCTGTGAACCTGGACAAGGAGTCACTGTGGAGGGATTAAAGGAAAAGCTTTGACCTATAATCCAAAATATAAACAAAAATCTGTTAAATTAACTGGAGGAGGAAGAGTTTACGTAACAAAAAAACTTGAGTGGGATCGGCACATCGGAGGTGATCGGACACGAATGGCTGAAATCACTCATTTATGGGAGAGGAACAAAACCCTGTAACTAACCCAAAGTTATTTCTGAACCAGCCGATCAAATCCTGCCGTAATTCTATTGTTGTTTGGGCAAAAACAGAAAAATCAGAAGATGACGTGTGTGTAAAAGGTTTGTTCTAAAGCTCAGATCTAGGAGGAGAAAACAATCAGGAGCTTTGTTACAAACGCATTGTTTTTCTAAGAGCGGCTGCTGAGTGACACACAGCGGTATGAAAAGCTGCACTGACATCTAAAAAGACAAACAGAGATGTACCAAAGTCCTTTTTCCCATCAGAAACCTTTAAAATATCATAACTAAAAGACTCGGCAGCACACCTGGATCCCAGTTTAGCCTCGTTTTACAACATTTTAACAAGAAGAACGAACGAGTCGGCTGTTTACATCCATCCAAAATCTATATTCTTTCTTTGGAGATTAAAAAATACCCCATTTCTATAAACAAACATTCCCGCTCTATACGGTAATACGAAAATTCAGCCTCCCAAAGAGGAGAAAACCCGGGTGCAAACCAGTGGTTGCTTTGAGCCTAATGAGCTCATCCCGTGAGCCTTTTTAGAAGTTCACATGTGAACCTTTGTCTGACGTGAGCGGGGTCCAGCTCAGGTTGAATGCCCGCCGGGTCGCCAGCACGTGGAGCTGAAAATCTGACCTTAATGTCTGTGCTGCACTCCTCATGTAAACATGGTCAGTTAAACGTGTGACCTTCGCAAGAACCAGCCCCTAACCCTCCCTCAGCCACGCTGGAGAGGGCTTTTGCTTTTTAAAAATCCAAAATAAGGAAAAATGTGCAACACAGTAAAACCTCTACTTACAATGGCCTAAACATACGAATTTTCCAACATCCGAAGTGAAATTCAATCAAATATTCGACTTGACACCTGAAGTAAATTTCCAACATGACGCCGAAGACATAGAAAAAATATATATATATATAAAAATCAGATGAAAATAAATAAGCTAATTAGTTTAAAGTTCGTGTAGTGAAAGCTAGAGTAAGTTAGTTCCTGTATCTCAGTCTCCACCTCTACCTCCGTCCAGTCGCTGAGGTAAAGTGCCAATAAAACCCCCTTTCATTGATTATTTCTTTATAATTTATTTCTTTTTACATATTTCTTATAAAATGCATTTGTTTTATTGCTATGTGTAATTATCTGCAGTGTTTATTAAGGAGTTATCGTAGGTTTTTGGGCTGTGGAACGAATTATAGGAATTACAGTGTATTCTGATGGGAATATTTGAACCAAGATACGAATATTTTAACATACGAAGTAGGTCCTGGAACGAGTTAAATTCGTATGTAGAGGTTCTAATGTATTCCATTTCCACAAAAGCGTGGTGCTATCGTTTCTGCTGTGTCTTTTGATGCAGAACAAACCTTTGCGTGTGTTCTCAGTCACGTCCACCCCGAACTGGATGATGTCACCGGACAGGACCTCGCAGGGCGGACTCTCCTCCGAGCCCCGACTCAGCCGCTGGCTGTTGATGAACGTCCCGTTGCTGCTTTTAGTGTCCTGCAGGTAGAACTGACACACAAACGCAACAGGTAAGAATAATGAGAGTGAACATAGCCAACAACATCACCACAAATACAACCGACAGGAGCCCAGGGCTCTGTTGGAGGAAACGAAAAAAAAGATAATTTCACATGAAACTGTGGCTCATAATGGTGGAAATGCAATTTCACAGGAGTCATTTAGTACTTAGACTATAATTCAAGACATAATGCCACCTTTAGACAGCAGGGAGGATTGAAACAGACCGTAATAAGCTAGCTGTGATAATTCTGTTGTCAGGATAAAGAATGTTTGTGCTCAAATATCTAAAGTCCCCATCGAATCCCTTCTCCTCCCTAAAGAAAACCAAAACAAATATCCCCCAATGAGATAAAAATCCACTGTCTTCCTCTACGATAAAGTATTAGGGCCACATTTTTAAAAACAGGAGATCAAAAACGTTATTAAATATGAGGAGAATAAAGTCGTAAATATTCTAAATGTGGCCCTAATACTCCGTCGTACTTCCTGAAATGTTGGATTTATTATATAATTTGTACCTTTAAAAGCCAGAATGTTTTTATTAGTTCCACTGTTTGTTTTTTTATTCCAATCAAATTTATTTGAATATGTGATTTTCTAAATGCCATAATTTTTAGAGCAGTTTGTGGGAAAAGCTGATATTTTTTTGATTGACCTAAGAAATAATGCACCAAAAGAAGGTTTTTTGTTTTTAACCCCAAGTCTGTTTTCACCAGAGGATGATGCCGTCTGTCTCAGAAATCTATCAATCAAATATCGTACACATGTTATTAAAGGGGAAAAAAGCATGTTACAGCATGTTACAGCATGTTTTCCCCTATTTTAGGACTTCTTTGTTCATATACGACTAATTGCTTTCCTCTTGTTAATATGTTTGCAAATTAATCTCAAAGCTGATTTGTTGTTCCATCATCCAGAGACTCTGAATGGCACGGACAACACAGAAACATTTCATAACACTTAAAGACCCAGAGGCGGGAATCCACCAAGACGACAACGAAAACCGCGATAGGAGGAAAACGCCAACAGCCACAGTCAACCACCGTCCACGGGAGATCCACACACACACATGCGCACACACACACACACACACACACACACACACACAGACACACACACACGGAGGACACCGAAAGCACACTCAGAGAGCCGTCTGAGCGCCGGGACGCCTGAGGCCTGTCTGTGTGGCGCTCCGCGTTCATTCATCAGCTCTCCCTCCTCCGTCATGACTGAAGCCCGGAGAGCCGTCCTGCTGAGTGGAGGAGCGGAGAGAGAGAGGCAGAAAGAGAGAGAGAGAGAGAGAGAGGATGGACGGGCTGAGGGCCAGGACACAACCAGGCCCCGCGCCGCTGTTTATCCCGCCGCAGTGTGCTGCAAAGTGCCACCAAATCGCGTTTTACGATGCCTTTACCCACACAAAACACGCACCGCTACCTCCCGTCCCCATGGCAACCCGGAGATGGGGAGGGAGGGACCTAACTATAGAGCTTTTCACCCAGCAACAACACATACACACACACACACAGACACACACACACACAGCGTATACCGGCCATATGCTCCCTACACGCCTGCATCTATAGCACCGTAAACATGGCGTCATGCAGCCCGGAGCAGCAGCAACCCGCTCAGCACGCCGCCATCGATCCTAAAAAAAAAAACTTTGCCCCGTAACTTCTGCTGGATTTGGTCTGCAACAAGCCAACGCCACTTTTTTTTAACCTTCCTATACCACTTTCAGGCCATTTTCTACATCACAAGACCAAAGAATACAGTAGAACCTCTACTTAGGAATTTAACTCGTTCCAGGACCTACTTCTTTTGTATAAATATTCGTATGTTGGTTCAAATATTCCCATAAGAACACACTGTAATTCCTGTAAATCGTTCTACAGCCCAAAAACTTACGATAACTCCCTAATAAATACTGCAGCTAATTACACATAGCAGTATAACAAATGCATTATATAAGAGAGATGTCAAAAGAAATTAATTCTAAAGAAATTAATCAATAAAAAGGGGTTTTATTGGCACTTATTGGCAACGGAGGTAGAGGTGGAGACTGAGATATAGGACGTACCCCAACTTACTCAATACGTGAACTTTAAACTGATTTAGCTTTTTTATTTTTAGTTCATATTTATATTTTTTTCTATGACTTCGACGTATGTTGGAAAAATTTACTTTGGGTGTTGAGTCGAATATTTGATCGAATTTCACTTCGGATTTTGGAAAATTCGTATGTTTAGGCCATTGTAAGTAGAGGTTGTGCTGTACATAAATAATAGAATTCACGACAAAGCAACTCTTGGACATAAAGAGAAAACATTTTTAACGTTTAAAGGTAGAAAACCAGGTCAGACTCGGTTAGGAAGTGAGATTCCCATTGAATCCAGACATTTTCTTAGTTATGTGGTAAAAAAATAAAAAAATAAATCCTAATTTTGAGGGAAATCCTGCCTGAACATACTGGCAATAGACTGTCTGACTATGTGTCCATCAGCTGGATGTGAGCAGAACAAAGCGGCAAACTTTTTTTTAAGGAAAACTTTAAAGATGATATGACTGGAAGATTAGATTTTTTTTTGTTCTAAACTACATACAGAAGAAAAAAAAAAACTGCGAATGAACTACATATGAGCGTTGAATTTCAGCTGGGGTGGGCTCAGCCCCTTCCCGTCCACATCACAGCTCAGATTTCATCGTCCTCCTCGAATGCAGCGGATCAAACTCCACAGCGGTTCTGAGTGTTTGGGCATGACATCATTAATCACTGCAGTACTTTTCCAGAGGGAGGCCCTCAACCAAACCGTTAAATCGCGGTGGGGACTATTTTAGGCAGGCGGTGCGTTTCTTAAAGCTCAAAACAATCTAACCATAAAGAGCCCCGAAAGAATGTCATGTAAAAATCTATTTTTAAGGAAATGCAAGAGACTGGATCTCTTCATTTTGACATCTTTCTGTACAGTTGTGCCTTTTTTCCCCCGTTTCTTCAGTCCAAACCTTCAGCATAAACATTCAACAAAGACTAAACACCACCTGCGTTTGTTTTAAGGTCACAGAATTAAAACCTTTTTTCAATATTCTGGGGTTTGTTCACTGTTCATCTCAATAGAAAGTGAAGAAAATCAACCTAAAATTAAATGAATAATTGAATATTTGAAAAAGGATTTAGTTTTTAAAGGTGAAGAGGAATATTCCTGTTTTTTTTCCACTGCGTTGGATCACATGAACGCAACACTTGTTAAACAAATCTCCGCTTCCAGCTCCTGCACCAGCATTCCAGCAGCACTTCCACCCACGAGCGGCGCATTTCTCTGGGAAACACAGCCCTCCTTTATCCCTCAGCGGCCTTATCTCATCCCCTCCCTCCCCTCCTTCTCCGTCGGCTGAAGGAACTCCGGGTTTGCTTTTTCGTTAATTGTCCTCACCCTCCAAAGAACACAGCGCAAACCATCAACTGGCAGCCAACAGCTACAACGACCACTTAACCAGTCAGGAGGTCAACACATGACACCGGCCGGGTCGGAGGCAGCGCGCACACGGACACACACAGACCCACACAGACCCACACAGACCCACACAGACACACACAGACACACACGGACACACACGGACACACACGGACACACACGGACACACACGGACACACACGGACGCATACGGACACACACACAGACGCACAAAGACTGACACACAGACACATACAGAAGCACACAGACGCTCACAGACACAAACAGACACATACAGAAGCACACAGACACACACAGACACACGGACACACACGGACACACACAGACACACACAGACACACACAGACACACACAGACACACACAGACACACACAGACACACACAGACAGACACACAGACACATACAGAAGCACACAGACACATATAGAAGCACACAGACACACACAGACTGACACGCAGACACATACAGACGCACACAGACATACACAGACACACACAGACGCACACAAACACATACAGACGCACACACAGACGCACACAGGTTAGGAGAAAGTCACAGTCATATGACAGATAATTCCCACCGAAGCACTCGCGCACACACACACAAACACATGCACACACACACATACACTAAAGGTTTTACCACAACTTAAATGAATTCCACTTTTGAGCGAGGCATGTGACTTCTCCAGCATCCTCAATTTACTCTCGTGTGAGAGAGAGGTGTCCGTTCACAAAGGAGTCTTCCATTTTTTTTCACTGGGCTAGCGACACATTTTACCCAAATATTCACTCTGTCCTTGAAAAGAAAAGCTGCTTTTGTGTGAGCCACATTAATTAATAACAATGTAATAAGAAATGAGAGGCCTTTTTTCCTTATTATTTGTCCCGAGGTCCCACTGAGCAGCGCGGCGGTTCGGAGATAAGATGATTTCCTTTGTTAGGAGGGGTGATAAAATGCTTTTACAGGGAACAGCACGAAGCTGGGCCAGTAGGGACACATTTTTCACTCTGAGGCTCGATAAGCTTGGTCACGAACCCTCAAGACCAGCCAGAAAACACAGGGGAAAGCAGCTCAGCCGGGAAAGTGACTCTGAACTTCCTACGGCGTCTCATTTAGACGCGTGCGCATGTGAAACTGCCACTCAACTGTGGGAAGAAATAACCCAGAAACAAAGCTCTGACTGTGTTTGCTCCCATCGCTCTCTGAAAGCTTTGATGGGAGAAGCACAATCAACAACACGGAAACAGCCAACAAGTAATCCAGTAAATCTGTGACGGCCACGAAGTCAAGTGGAAGGTCAAACACTGCTAAAAAAAAAAGCCTTTAACAATTCCTGTTAATAATCACCGAGAGCACTTAAAGAGCTGTGCGTGTCTAAGGATTGGTCACACCACAGGAGGGGCAGCGAGGCGTGAGATCAGCTCTGTTGTTCCCCGAATGGACGGATCCGTCACGCTGGAGGCAGCGCGACACGACTGGTGTGCCATAAATCCGTTTATTCGCACCGCTGGGAGCAACGGCCGCCTCGAGGAAAAACACGAACGGCCTCACAGATGAACAAGACGCCTGTTCCCGAAAAGCATCGGACGGCCCCCCCGGGTTCCCCACAAAAGTTCTGAGTGATTTAACGCAGCCTCTAGGCTACCTGATCCCACCGGGAGGGTCCAATAATTCACACCTGCGTCTGGGTTTGGGCTTTTCTACGCTGCACTTTTGGGGTTGGAGAATTTAGGTGGACCGGAGCTCGGTTTAACTTCCGAACCCCTCCACAAGAAGCGGACTTTCCGAGGAAACAAAAAGAGTTGTCACAATTCTTTAATACAGACATCCTATAAAGCAGTGTTTTTCAACCTTTTTTGAGCCAATGTACAGTTTTTCATTGAAAAAATCTCAAGGCACACCAACCAAAAATGTTAAACAAATCTGTAGCCGCCTATGGTAACCCTATAGTTATTCTTATTTTATTCTTATCTTATGTTAAGTGTCTTGAATAGGAATCAAATAAACATAAAAATGTATTTTTATCATATTTTATATTTCTTCTTTCAAATTGCCCTTAACATGTCCACTTCAATATACAAAATATATATAAAATCTAGTCATAAGGAATTATTACACGATTACGCCACCAGGCACTAGAACAGCACAGACTCTCAAAAATGGCCTATTTGCAGAAAATTAATTCCTTATCAAAAAATCTTTTTAGACCAATTAGGTGAAATAGGATGATTTTCTACGGCACACCTGACCATCACTCGCGGCACACTAGTGTACCGAGGCACAGTGGTTGAAAAACACTGCTATAGAGCCTTATAAATGCTGATTCCACAGACTTGACTGACTGTAATCGATTTAAATGCATCATCCTTGACAGAATATAGACGGTTTTATTCTGGTTATTTAAAGATTATTATCTAATAACACAGGGATCATGCTGCCCTTCACACTCTTCTAACTAATGAACCAAACTCCAGCAGCAGCAACAGGCGTGAAAAGGAGGTTAGTTCAGCACACAGATGAGAGCATAGCCAACCTAAAACACATCCAGCACGTAGCTCTGTCCACTCATTAACCGGATCAGCTCAGGACACATTTTTGTTCAAAAAGGAAGCAATTAGGATTCAAATCCAGTCGTTTCTGAAGGCCTGCTCCGTGTGTGTGCTAGCATAAAGCTCCCCATTCTTATTCAAAGTTAACCCGGGGCGCTTTTGAAGCTCGGGGCTGACATTTAGCACGGGGAGAGTCCCGAC